CCCCCAGAACAGATATTCTACCCCATTTGGTATTAAAGAAGCAGGATGCTTGCTAGTGAAAATGAGAAATGTCCATTACCCATTCTGTAAAACAAAGCAAAACAAGCAAATAAAGTTACACAACACCCTATTCATCTTTCGCATTAAATACTTTGTGTCTGAATGTGGAGAGTTAATTATTTTGCTGATAAGATTGAGCCAGTTTTGGTAATTAGAATTTTCAAAACCATTATCTCTGGTATCTAGATGCAAGCATTTTACTCCATGGGATTTTATAGGAGATCTATCAGAGAATGAGGCCCTCTTCATGGATAGCTATTTATTTTTTAATTAGCAAAAATCATGACTTACAGCAAGTCTGAAATAGTACAAATTACTTCAAATGCCTCTACTCAAACATTTCCAAGGTGAGGAAAATGATGGCAGGTTTCTTTCTTTATACTAACCAGTTTACACACTTCCTAGTCTTTTCTTTGTATAATCGCTAAAAGGACGAATCTAATGATCAACTAACCAATCACCAACTACATGGGATTATGGTAATGTATCAGGTACTGAAAAAGATATTAGAGAGGCAGGAAGAGGTCATTGTCCTTAGGAACCCATTGTCCTTAAGAACAAACATTGTTTGTTACCAGGATAATCATTTCTACAATTTAGTTTATTTTAGCATAAACAGGTTTTTGAGTTTATCTGGATAATTTTTTCAACTTCAAAGTTCCCTGGCTTGTCCGGTCCCCGCCTTTTTCTGGGAAAGGGCACAACCCAGCACTTCTTCAAATATTCATAGTAATTTATGATTCTATAAATTAACTTGCTTGGTAAGGGCTACTGGGGCTTGAGTTTCCAGCAAGGGCACCCCAAGTTCCCAATACATTGAAAACATTTGTGTTGACCTGCAGTTTCCCCCTGCTCATTCCCCACGCCCAAGTTTTGGGGTGTGTGAGATTTGCCCCTCAGAGGTTTTCTGTTTTTGTGGAAACTGGCAGATAACCCGTCCCTCCCTTCAACATTAGCCCAGTTACTGAATCACAGTCATAATTAGCAACATACCCATTTTCCCATTTATTTTGAGAACCAGAAGTACTTTGTAATCATGAATTACTGAACCAGGCCAGGTCCTGGTCTTGTTGTCCTATCCCTGTTGCTAAAACTAGCCATACTGAGTCAACTAAGGAGAGTTTTTAATATATATTATCATTTGCAGATATCTTCTCCCAAACACTTATTGGTAAAGATGTATGTACTACCTCTATGTTCATTGCAGCACTATTCAAATAGCCAAGGTATGGAAACATTCTAAGTGTCCTTTGACAGATGATTGGGTAAAGAAGAGGTGATAAAGATGTAATGGTGTCCTACTCAGCCATAAAAAGATGAAATGTTACCATTGGCAACAATATGGATGGATCGTGAGGGTATCATGCTAAGTGAAATACATCAGATGGACAAGGACAGAACAGTATGATTTCACTCATATGTGGGATGTAAAACAAAAAGCAAAAAACAAACCCATAGATGACAGACAACAGAGTGGTGGTTACCAGAGGTGGGGGGAAGAGGAAGAAGATAAAAGGATTCAAATATATATGGTGACGGAAGGAGACTAGACTTTGGTCGGTGAGCACACAATGGAGTATGCAGATGTTGTGTCATAAAGTTGTACACCTGAAATGTATATAATGTTATTAACCGATGTTGCCTAAGGTAAATGAGAAAAAAGAAAAGACCCAGCTTCTTGGTGGTTCTGGAGTCATGGTCACAGACTGCAGGGGGGAGCCTGAGGAACCACGGAACACGTTTGGAAATAGAGCCGTAGAATTCCCTCAGCCTCAGAGGACCTGCTCTGGGGCAAAATCCCCAAACGAAACAATTCCTAACCACCCACTCCTGGAACAAGAAGAAACCCTGCTTTAAGGGACGTTTAATTGAGCCACTAACACATAGCAAGGAGCAAAAGAAGCTCATTTCAGCCTCTGGACTCACTCACCTGGCAAACTAGGCATAGCATGTCATAACGGTCTCGTAAAACACTCCCAGTTGTCCTTTATTCCTTGAATAAACACCTTAAAAGCTGACAATGTGAAGATGATCGCACCAAACCAGAAAGGAATTGGCATGTTTATCAGCCAACACCACAACTTCCTCACAGAAACAGAAGAAAACGTGTGGAGAGGAAAAGGGCTGCTGAATACAGAAGGAAAAGGCAAAAAATAGTGTTATCAGGAGCTCCTTTCAACCTCTGAGGAAGAAAGTAACGAAGTAAATGCAAGCGAATGCTGTCCAGTGGGAAGGAATCTTAGACCTGTGACCCTTTCGTCGGCTTCCCTTCCGTAGCATAGACTGGCTGAGTATGGAACACTTAGGGGGAGTCCGCAGTGCCTTCCTCTCTTAGATTGTCTCATTTAATCCTGCTAACACCCCATGAGGAAGATGCCATTTCCACCCCCGTTTACAGAGGAGGAAACTGAAACACAGAGAGGGAAAGTAATTTTCAGAAGGTCACACAGCTATTAAGTTCCGTGCCAGGGTTACAAGCCAGGAATTCTGATTTTATAGCTGTGTTTTGTGCCACTACACTATACTGCCTTTTCCTCTGCTACCTCTTAAAGCAATCGTTCTCAACTTGGGAATTAGCACTTAGCGAGCTTTTACCTTTTAGGATAATCTGAAAACAAAAACAAACAAACAAAAGACACAGCGAACACAAGCCTGTTTGGGGGACCGCATTATACCTGGGTGTGGGCCTGTGTTGAATTTCCACTTGCCTGTGTGAATTCCTGCCTTCTATGGAGCCATAGCCTTGCAGAGACAGGGATTTGGTTATTGTTGTTATTTGCTTCTGAGAGTCTCATGCCCTAATTCTCCATGGACTGAAGACAATCTCTAAATCCAGCTTGTACCCCTTGTTTACCTCTCTCCTGGGCCTTTTGCCTTTTTTTCCATTGGCTGTCAATTCTCATCAGCTGTTTTATTTCCTCAGTTCTTTATGAATTTAAAGTGTAGGGAAAGTGGAGACACAGGGTTCCCTGCCTTCCAAACATTAATTAATTATCTGTGTTCCTACCGTTTTGAGGTTGTACAAGTCATTTTATAAAAAACTGACCACGTATAAAATCAGTCTCCTCTCAAATATCCCTCCCTTCTTAACTCTAGGTCCTATCACAGGGGTGGGCAAACTTTTTGACTCGAGGGCCACAATGGGTTCTTAAACTGGACTGGAGGGCCAGAACAAAAGCATGGATGGAGTGTTTGTGTGAACTAATATAAATTCAAAGTAAACATCATTACATAAAAGGGTACGGTCTTTTTTTTTTAGTTTTATTCATTTCAAACGGGCCGGATCCGGCCCGCGGGCTGTAGTTTGCCCATGGCTGTCCTATCACCTTCCTTCCCAATGCCCTGGAGGAAAACGCAGCATTACTGCAAAGTGCAATCACAAATGTTGCAAAAGATGCTGTATTTTACGTAGTTGAGCAAAGTGATGGGGGAAATGGCAAGTCATGGACAAATGGGGACAGGGCAGAGTTAAACCAGGTATTATTAAAGAGGAGGAAATCTGAGAGAATTAGGACAGATTGATGATTCAAAAGAGAAAGATTTATTTCAAAGGACTAAGAGAGACCCTTGGGAAAACTGCTACACCTTTCACATATATAAAATAAATCTCTTTGTGGTTGTGTGGTTAAAGTAAATGAAGAATGTTATGCCACCAAATAATTTTGAAATGAACTTTTAATTTTGGAATAATGCTATATTTATAGAAACATTCCAACTATAATACAGAGAATTCTTGTCTACCCCTCACCAGTTTTCCCTAATGTTCCATTAACATGGAACATTTGTTAAAACTAAGACATCTGCATATTATTATTAACTAAGCTGCAAATTTTATTCAGATTTCACCAATTTTTTGTTATAATGCACTTTGGTATTCCTGGATCCAATTTAGGATACCACACTGCATTTAATATCTAGTAATTTTGTCAGAAAATATAGTTAACAAAAATCCAAACCAAAACTGGATTCTGTTCAGCTTCTTTCTAAGAATTAGTGTAGTGCAGTTATACTCAGAATTATGTTAATAGATGATAAAGTAATTACAATCCTATTACTTTCTTTCAAGTTTCAAACTGGAGGACCAATCAGACCATTTCTTACACAATTTACTACCAAATGTACTTCCCATTTGTAGAAATTTAACTTTAACCAGTTTTTTTTATGCCTCTAACTATGCTTAGATAACGACAATAGATGGTTAGCGAGGCTTCCTTAAAATACGAAAAGGAATATGTGATCAGGATCTGTGGATTAAAAAAATAAGTAAGTTTGATGTCTGTATAATCACTGGAACTGTGTGTAATATGCCTATTGTTCCTTTGAGCTACAACTTAAATAAACGAATAAAGCAAGACACGTTTTTTTTTTCCAAATGTATTTTATTGTTTTTTGTTGTTGTTGTTGTTGTTTTTTTACAGAGCGGAAGGGAGAGGATAGAGAGGTAGAAACATCGATGAGAGAGAAACATCGATCAGCTGCCTCCTGCACATCTCCTACTGGGGATGTGCCCGCAACCCAGGTACGTGCCCTTGACTGGAATCGAACCCGGGACCCCCCAGTCCGCAAGCCGATGCTCCATCCACTGAGCCAAACCGGGTTTCGGCTTAAATGTTTTATCTTTTTTTTTAAAAATATATTTTATTGATTTTTTACAGAGAGGAAGGGAGAGAGATAGAGAGCCAGAAACATCGATGAGAGAGAAACATCGATCAGCTGCCTCCTGCACATCTCCTACTGGGGATGTGCCCGCAACCCAGGTACATGCCCTCGACCGGAATCGAACCTGGGACCCCTCAGTCCGCAGGCGGACGCTCCATCCACTGAGCCAAACCGGTTCCGGCTTAAATGTTTTATCTTAGTCCAATCCACATGATCTCACTTCTCCAGAGGAGGAGAGTGTGACACAGAGTGATAACCACCTTGCCCCCAGTCACCAACTTGGATCCTTAATGTCTGGAGAGGGGGGAAGAAGTCAATGATGAGTCTTCTCCGGGATATCCTGCAGGCCTTGCAGTTCTCTAAGCCCCTCTAGCATCATGTGGATATGGGCTTTGATATTCATCGAGTCCTTGGTGAGGCTGTCGCTGAGCTCTGTGAGGAGATTGCTCTTATGGTCAATAAACTTGAGAGCTTCTGCCAGTGTCAACTCCAGGAAAAAACCACATCCAATGGCCACATAGATCCGTGAGGTGTCTGAGACAACTGTGTCAACGAAGAAATTACATCCCAAATCCACCTGCATATGTAACTCTGAGCGGTTAGCTTCCTGGAGATGCTCAATGACATTTCTCAGTTGAAGGTATTTGGACAGCTCCTCATATACCTTGTCACGATGATCCAGTACCTTTTGCAGGTCCCGATGCAGCACATCAGAGATGAAAGCTTCATAGCGCAGCACTTTCTCCCCCATGGCCTGCCGCTTAGGGGGCGTCTCCATGATGCGCTCCTTAGAGCCCTGGGCAATAAGAAAGCCCCAGCAGGTCCAGGGGTCCCCAAAGGTGTGGACGGAGTCGGCGAAGCAGGAATGACACGGAGACAGGGTTCAGTTGATCAGCAGCCTCGCCAGGATCTCTAGCCAAGCTCTGTGTTGGATTGCCTTATTACATGTGTATTTATGCCGGTTGACTTTAATCCTGTCAATCTCTATTCCAAAGGTTAGGGCGTTTCTTACCTCCATTCCAGGGAGTAAAGATTATGTAGCTTAAGTGTGATTGTTCATAGTTAAAGTGATTAACTACCCGCGCCTGGCACTTAGTTAAGGGGTTTTATTCCCTCCCCAACTTCAGGGAAAAATCCCTACCTGGGGAAACAACCTTTCTTGGAGAGGTGACCTTGGTTAAAATACATAGTGCCAAGAAGGCGAGCAAACATATTAAGAACAGTATGCCGTATACGCCAGGTCCCTTGAAACATATGCTGTGCAGATGTTTCTTCCCTGCAGCGACTGTGTCAAGCAGCAAGGATGGACTGGCTTCCGGTACACAGTGAAATGAAGATGAGTGCTATGGTCTGAATGGTTGTGACTCCCACCATGCCCCAAATTCATAAATTGAAATCCTATTGGGCCAGCTAATGGGATTAGGAGCTGGAGCTTTGGGATGGGATTAGGTCCTGGGGGTGGAGCCCTCACGATGGGATTTGTGCCCTTATAAAGGAGGCCTGAGAGAGCTGCCTGCCACATTCCCCAAGTGAGAATACAAGAAGTCAGAAGTCTGCAATTGGAAGAGGGCCTGCACCGACCGACCGACCATATAGGTACCATTTTAAGATACGATTTTTGCCTTCATAGTTCATAGTGAGTCCCATGTGGTGTGAACTGTTCTAATCATGTGCAGGAGGACCACCTTGCACCTGGTAATATTTTAAAATTAGTTTGATTGGGAGACGTCATTCTCCCGCGCCAGTGCCGGCCCGGAGGTTCGGCAGAGCGGTCCCTCTCTGGCTTGGCTTTCTAGGACAGTTCCCAGTTGCCAAGGCCTCTGACCTGAGAGCGAGGAGGAAAGCGGCGAGATGACGGACCGCTACACCATCCACAGCCAGCTGGAGCACCTGCAGTCCAAGTACATCGGCACGGGCCACGCCGACACCACCAAGTGGGAATGGCTGGTGAACCAGCACCGCCACTCCTACTGCTCCTACATGGGCCACTTCGACCTCTTCAACTACTTCGCGGTTGCGGAGAACGAGAGCAAAGCTCGAGTCCGCTTCAACGTGATGGAGAAGATGCTGCAGCCCTGCGGACCGCCGGCCGACAAGCCCGAGGAGAACTGAGGTCCCGCCGGTCCGCGCTGTGCGGGAGAGCACCCCTGTTCCTCCGGTGTGCCGACCTCCGCGTGCCCTGACCCGGGGACCCGTTCTGTGTGCTCCGGCATCTCCCCGAACAGACGTGCTTCCTCCCGGGGCCTCTCCTGACCTGCCTTCCTGTGGACCCTCGGAACACAGCGTTGGGGCCCCTGAGAACTGTGACCTTGGCGACCCTAAAGCCAGCGAGCGTCAGGGGAGATGGCACTGGAGTGAGACGGAATAGGGAGGCTCGCTTTTAGCCAGTTGATCGTCGCTGTTGGTTTTCCCATAAAGTTCAGAAAATGTTCCAAAAAAAAATCAATGAAATTAGTTTGATTGTGACACTAGCACTGTATAGAATCTTGACTTCATTGCTTTCATCAAAAGATGATTTAGTTTTAAGGGTAACTTGAAAGGATAATTGTTGGAATTTGCAACTGATGAAAGATTGAAAATGAATAGTGATAATATATTATTTGTTTCATTTTAGATAAAAGTTAAAAACGAACATTCGGAGAATTTCGCTCTTCTGCTCCTGTGGAGAGGATGGCTCTGAAGACGGTGCCCAAGGACACGCGGCATCTGCGGGCTTGTTTGTTGTGTTCGCTGGTCAAGACTATAGACCAGTTTGAATATGATGGTTGTGATAATTGTGATGCATACCTTCAGATGAAGGGTAACCGGGAGGTGGTGTACGACTGCACCAGCTCTTCCTTTGATGGAGTCATTGCAATGATGAGTCCAGAGGACAGCTGGGTCTCCAAGTGGCAGCGAGTCAGTACCTTTAAGCCTGGAGTGTATGCAGTGTCAGTCACTGGTCGCCTGCCCCAAGGAATCGTGAGGGAGCTGAGAAGTCGAGGAGTGGCCTACAAATCCAGAGACACAGCTATAAAGACCTAGCAAGATGTACGGCTGCCAGTGTCTTTGCCACCGCCTCCTGCCTCTGCTTATTTATTGCTGTGAAACTAAATGGACAGAGCTTCAAATACTCCTCACCCTCCAATTCTGAGGCTCAACAGACTGATAAGAGAGCAGTACAGCCTGTTCCTGGGCTATTTTATCTTATTTGGACTACTAGTTGGGGTAGGAGTGGTGTGGGTTGATGGATTAACAGAGTGAATTGTATGTGGAGTACGATGTTTTTTTCCTACCCACACCTCTGGCTGCCTCCTTGCCCATGGTCAGGACTCTATCAAATGCCAATAAATGTGAACCCATAGTTCATGAAAAAAACAAAAGAAAAACAACAATGAATATTCGTAGCTTGCTGAAATTACTTTAGATATTCTTCTTCCAAATATTGTATTTCAACTGTAATTGAAAAAAAATCCCAAAACTCTTCCTTCATTCGCATCAATTTATCTTTGTGAGACCAAGCTCATGCTGCATGGGCTGCAGCAGAACTATGTCAAGCTCAACGAGAGAGAAAAGAACCGTAAACTCCTCGACCTCCTGGACGTGCTAGAGTTTAATTGGAGTGCGGGTGAATTTCCCGCCAAAATATAAGATGGCTCTGTCTTTTGGTTTTGTTCCATCCACCAAAAGGGTGGATTACAAACAAATATTTGGTAATACGCAGTTACAATCGGCCCGAGTTTACACGTTTCCCGCACTCCACCGCAAATCTATATGAACCGAGTTTTAAGACGGCTCCCGCGGAGTACGCGCAATTCAGCGAGCCGACTTAACTCGTTTCCCGCACTCCAAGTGTTGGTGGTGATCTTCGTGAGGTCGGTGCAGCGCTGCATGGCCCTGGCCCAGCTACTCGTGCAACAGAACGTCCCAGCCATGGCCATCCACAGGGCCATGGCCCAGGAGGAGCGCCTAGCACGCTATCAGCAGTTCAAGGACTTTCAGCGGCGGATCCTGGTGGCCACCGATCTGTTTGGCCGAGGGATAGACATTGAGCGAGTCAACATCGTCTTCAATTATGACATGCCTGGGGACTCGGACACCTACCTCCACCGGGTGGCCCGTGCCGGTCGCTTTGGCACCAAAGGCCTGGCTATCACTTTTGTGTCTCATGACAATGATGCCAAAATCCTCAATGAGGTTCAGGGTCGGTTTGAAGTCAATGCGGCGGAGCTTCCTGAAGAAACGGACATCTCCACATACATGGAGCCGAGCCGCTAACCACACACCTGACATCCCGGAGCCACCCTGCTTCCCACGTGCTGCTTCAACTTCTCTTTCTAGGCGACAGCGGGGCTTTCTTTTTCTGTTCAAACACCGTACATTTGTGTAACAATAAATTTGTATTATGCAAAAATAAATAAAAATATGGGCTTGTATTTTGCTTCTTCACCCCATTTTTCAAGTCAGTCATATATATATTAAAGTACATTTTTATTGATTTCAGAGAAGGGGGAGAGGGAGAGAGAGAGAGAGAGAGATCAATGATGAGAGATTCTCATTGATCAGCTGCCTCCTGCATGCCCCCTATGAGGATTGAGTCTGCTACCCAGCATGTGCCCTTGTCCGGAATCGAACCTGGGACCCTTCAGTCCACAGGCTGATGCTCTGTCCACTGAGCCGAAGCAGTTCGTCCCATATATACATTTTTAATGACCACCCAGACAGGTGTTCAGATCCGATGGGAAAGAAAACCGGCTCATTTTTTCCTGTATTTTACAAAAGTACCTCCTAGCGATGTATTGGAAAAATAAAGACTTGTCCTTCACCATGGATAATTTGGCAAGCTGCTTTTTCGAGACTCATTTTGCGGGATCAATGGGAGAGTAGTAGGAATCCGGGCCCTGGAATGAGGTCCAGTGAAAAGCAAAAAAAAATGAACAAAGCTTTGGGAAGTAACATTTTTTCTAGCTCAATACGCTCAACTTCTATTAGAGCTCTTGGCCGAAGACAAATCTAGAAAAAGGTGCCCAGCACCTCACCCCAAATTCCTTCCACAATGTTGGCCAGCAGCACTGCGGCACCCCGCCTTCGGGAGCAGGAAAGGAGCCGGGGGGCGGGGCAAGCAGCGTGAGGTCATCGCAGAGCGACGCTGGCGCCGCAGGCAGCGCCGGCGCCGCGTGACGTCATCGCCGCCCCACTGCTTTCCGGAAGACGGCGTGGCCGGCCAGTGAGGTACTCTTGAAAGCTGGGGTTCGCGTTTTTCTGTTACTGACTGCAGCCCTGCTCTCTTGTCCTGGGTTTCCCCCGCCGCTGGCTGCGAGGAGCGAGGCCGGGACTCGCAGCCCCCCGCGAGGGCGAGCTCGCCCCCCTGCGCGTGGGGCACAGCGTGGTTGCGGGACGCCCGCGTCGCCAGTCCTGGGGCTGTTGGCAGGTCCGGGCCTACCTGGCTCCCTCTCGCCTCTTTAGGTCCAGCCTTTCGCCTTTTATACGCTCCTTAGCTCCGCCTCCCGCAGATTGGAAGGCGGAGAATGTAAGGACAGAGGACTTCACAGTTGATTTTCGGCCGCCTTCAGCCCTCGTTGCAGGAAGGAAGGCCGAAGGGAGAGCTGGAGGGGAGGGAGTAGCTTTCCCCAGAGGATGGGCTCCTTCCACCTTCAGCTGAAATCGGTCCCAGGAGTGGATGCTCTCAAGGAAATAGTTGTGCTTCGTGGCCCAGGAACGTTCAGTGTGATTCAGACTTCTGTTCGCAGGGACCCTCAGCGTCGCCCTGTTTGTTGGCGGATGGGCAGCTGGGTTTGACGAAGATGCAGCTCCCAGTGAGGTGTTTGCTGCCCGCGGTGGAGCCTGTCGGGACCGTCTGATGGTAGATGGAACCGAGGCTTCACCGTCATGTGGAGGCTGGTCCTGAAAAATCATTAGATAGCCCCTGTGATCGTTTGAAACGATAGATCTCATTGTTTTGTTGAGAGATAAAATAATGGCAGTGCGGAAAATGATTTTTCAAAATAAAAGAATTCTCAGTCAAGCCCTAACCGGTTTGGCTCAGTGGATAGAGCGTCGGCCTGGGACTCAAGGGTCCCAGGTTCAATTCCGGGCAAGGGCATGTACCTGGGTTGCGGGCACATCCACAGTGGGGGGTGTGCAGGAGGCAGCTGATCGATGTTTCTCTCTCATCGATGTTTCTAGCTCTCTATCCCTCTCCCTTCCTCTCTGTAAAAAAACCAAACAAAAACAATTCTCAGTCAAAAGATGTTACGGCTGATTTTAAATAGCCGTGTTGTATTACAGTTGAGGAGTGATGGTTTCTCATGACCTTTTACATGGCTCTTTAAAAAATAAATATATATCTTTATCAATTTCAGAGAGGAAGGGAGAGGGAGAGAGAGAGAGAAGCATGAATGGGAGAGGGAAACATGGATGGGTTGCTTTGCGCTTGCAGCCGAACCAGGGATGGAGCCTGCACCGGGGCCTGCGCCCTGACCGGGAATCAGACAGGCCACCTGTCAGTGCACCGGAGGAGGCTCACCCAACTGAGCCACACGGCCAGGGCATGATGATGTCAGAGATGAGGAAAATGTCATAAGCAAACCTCATGGTTTTAGAAGGCAACTTTGCTGCTTTATAATTTTGGAAACACTTCACATTCAACATTAGAATTAAACACTATAAGTAACTTCTTTGTAATCTGACGTGATTATTCATCTCTATCTCCAGCAACCTCTTTATAATGTACTTCTTACTCTGTTATCAGGCTTTGTGATAAATTTTTTAGAGGTTAACATTTTTAAAAAAGACGAAGCCTTATTTTTTTCGCAGTAAAATCTTGTCAGGAGAATTACAGGTAACACTAACATGGACTGACTGCCAAAGATAGCAATGTTTATTGAGAGATTGTATATACATTGCACTATTATTTTCTAAGATAATGCAGTGCAACAAAATCATTACGGTAATAGAATTTTGGTGCAACATCTGCAGAAGTCTCTCTAGTTCCAAAAAAATTTAGATATTGGCTTTGGTCTCTCACTTAGTTCATAATTATGTGTACCTCTGCTTGGCATAGGGATGGAAGCAGATCCAGAATGTACGTTATATTTTTTTCCTTTTGATCCATGTGGTGACTTGCTAATATTTAGAAGTCCAAATTCAAATATGATATTAAGATTCTCCAAAATTTGGTTCCAGTTTACTTACATTGGTTTTAGTCAATTAACAAAATGTTACTAAATACCTAAGGTGTGGCAAGACATGTTAGTCCTGAGGGAGTGGCCAACACTTTGCATTAAAAGCCTCTCCTCAGCCCAGTCAGCATGGCTCAGTTAGGTGAGACTACTTTGGGAGATATGGAAACCTTTATAGAGGAGCATGCATTTGATTGGGTTTCAAAGGATTAATAGGTTTTATTAAGCCCAGAAGATCGGGGAGGGGTTATTCCAAACAGAGGAAAAACCCTCACTTCTCTCCCTTCAAGACCATTACCTCCCAGTCAGCTGTTTTAAAGGTTCTTTTGCACTTCCTTAGCTTTCTTCTGTGCCTACTATCCAATTCCTCATTCTGGGCAACCATTCTTCTTGTAGGCCTATTGAATATTGCTAAAGAAATTCACAGAAGACAGAAGTTAATACTATTTAACCTTAACTGAGTCATCTCAGTTGCCTGAAATACCTGGATCCTCTCAGCTTCCTGACAATTCCTTTATTTACCCCTGTTCTTTTCTATCTGTGAAGAAGACTGATAGCAAAAAATTGATTCATTTGAAATATGGTATTGGAAGAGAGGTCTACAAATACCGTGGATCATTAGACAAGCTGGTCCTAGAGCAAATTAAGCCTGAAACATTGCTGGAGCCAAAAATGACAAAATTGAAACTGTCCTACTTTGGACACATCTTGAGAAGGCAAGATTCTTTGGAAAAGACAGTCATGTTGGAAAAATAGGAGGTAGCAGGAAAAGAGGAAGATCAAACATGAGATGGATTGGCTCCATAAAAGAAGCCATAGGCAGGAGTCTGTAGGAGCTGAGAAGGGCAGTTGAGGACAGGACATTGTGGACATCACCCATTCATAGGGTCCCCAGGAGTTGAGCATTGAGAAAACTTACATGCATATTCAAGTATCTCAAAGATAAATATATATCTTATTCTTCAATTTTTGTTCACTTTAACATATCTCAGGACTCTGAGCTCTACTTCATACTTCTTCAATGCTGCAGAGTTTCTTATTGAATGAATAGATCATAATTTATTCAACTAGTTCTTGTTAATGGGTGCATAGGTTGTTCCCTGCTTTAAAGTATTTTAAAAAGTGTTGCAGTGGATGTCCTTGTGTGAAAATACATATTTTGAGAAGTAAAATTGTGGGGGTCAAAGAATTTGTACATACATAATTTTGAAGCATAGTGCCAAATTGCCTCCAAAAAACGCTCAGTTTACGCTCCAATTAATAGTGAACGAGTGGCTGTTTCTCCTCACCTTTGCCCATACTAGGTATTATCAATCTTTTAAATTTTTGCTTGTTTGACATGAAAAATAGCATCTTGTTTTGTTGATTTATGCTTCTTTAATTAGGAGTGAGATTGAATAACTTCATGCTTATTAGTCATCTGGATTCCTTTACTTGTGAACTGCAGGTTTTCTTTGTTCATTTTTCTTTTGGGTTGTAGGTGTGTGTGTGTTGTAGGTGTGTGTGTGTGTGTGTGTTTGTTAAATTGATTTGTAGAGGCTCCTTTTATCTCTATGCTGCAAATATTTTTCCCTCGTTTTTCATTTGACTAAACTTTTTTGGTCTGTTTATTTTCTAATGCATATATTTCTTATAAGATGTAAGATACTAGGATTTCTTTTAAGAGGAAATTTGTGACATTCATAAAATAATTAGAGACACCCTGAAATGTCAGCTTTTGTTGGGAATGTTGGCAACACTAACCTCATTTGAAGCCACAGGCTCTGTCTTGTTTTAATGAGTTTTATTTAGCAACTGTCACAGATCTGGTAGCACTCAGTAACCCACCTTCCCCTCACCTTCAATTATATTTGGAATTGAGATGAGATGTAATAGAGCTGCTTAGTATTCTAGAGCAGCGGTTGCCAATTTTCCGGACCTCACGGATCACAGGTGGTCCGCGGACCACTGGTTGGCGACCTCTGTTCTAGAGTATACTTCATTTTAGGTTTCCCCCAATTTCTGAACTGAATTGTATTCTAAAAGTTAATTTATGAGTTAGCTATCTAATTTCACTATCGATATAATGTACATAGGTTTGTTATTCTTGCTCTCAAAGTGTAATTACTCCATGAAGACTAGCTTTTTTTTTATAAAGCAAATTTAAGATGTTATGCTATTTTACCCAGGGAGATTATATATATATATGGAGAGGGAGAGAGAGAAACATCAATGATGAGACGGAATCATTGATTGGCTGCTTCCTGCATGCCCCACACTGGGGATGGAGCCCACAACCTGGGCATGACCTCCTGGTTAATAGGTCGACGCTCAACCACTGAGCACCACCGGCTGGGCAACTGAGGGACATTTTTCTGACATAACTATAATGCTATGTTCATAGATGACAAAATTATCAGTAATTTCTTGGTGTCATCTAATGCCCAATCTATGTTCATATTTCTTTCTCTCAAAAATATCTTTTTACACTTGGTTTATTTGAATCAAGATCCATACAAGATCTATACATTCCATTTGGTTGTTACAGCTCCTAAGTTTCTTTTATCTCTTCTTTATCTACCACTGTTCCCTTTTCTTTCTTTATTTTTTTTCTTCATGCCATTTACTTGTTGCAGAAACCAGGTCAGTTATTCTACAGTGCATTTCTCATTTCAGATTTGTCTTTTTGCTTTCTGGTGGTAACTTATTTTTCTGTCCTCCATATTTCCTGTAAATGGAAGTTAGCTCTAAAGGGTCAATTAAATTCAGATTCAACTCTTTTGGGGAGTTGGAAATGAAACATAGATGATGCTGTGTACATCATATTCACATCAGGAGGTTCATAATATGTTTGTCCAACTTTTAGTAAAGTGAGGACAGATCTGTGTTCAGGGAGTGTTAGTCTCACCCCTCCGTTGTAAATTTCCTCATTATCCTTTTATTTGTTGTTGATCATTGCCTGAATCTATCATTTCATTAGGGGTTGCAAAATGGTATTTTGAGGGGAAAAAAAGTTGTCATTTCTTTCACATTTGTTAGCTGGAATTTGAAATCTAGTTTTATTACCCGGGA